TACGAAGTTACGGAAAATCAATTAAAAAAAACGGAGACGTAACAATATAAACCCCTGAAAACCAGTGTAAACTTATCTGAAGACGGAAGTCTTTCGAAACGTCATTTTTTTATCTGTGCTACTTTTGTAAATTAATCTTCCGAGACTTACTGCACAAGTGTTACATTGTACTAGGCAGTTGCTACTCCATGTAACCTTTGTTTGTTCAGCTTAATTTTATTTTCCCTTTTGTTTATAAGACTCTCGCCAGTGCTTAGTATTTGTTTATGTTTGACATAAATGAGCAAGCTTGATTTTAAGCGTGAAGTGAAGTTAGCAGAGCATTAAATCTATTGTTAGAGTTGTTTTTGAGTAAAATTATTTTGCTAGTGAAATCCAAATAAGAACTTTGCTTCATAGTGATTGTATCTTAACTTAACTTGGGGTTATTTTTATTTAGTGATTTCATTTTTATTTAGGTTAATTTGCAAGGGGGAGCGCAAAGACTAACAAAAGCGTTTTTCTATTACATTCTTCATCAGCTCTTGCTGGTTCTGCACTTTTTATTTTAAAGCAAATACGATTACTTTTAAATTGTTTTGTGTTAGTAGTGTATTTTTACTGTATTTTATTAATTTTGGTCACCATTATTATATCATTTTGTGTGTGGATCCGTGTCTTGTCTAGATCTTTAATTACGACCTATATGTTACAACTCGTCGGGAAAGATGCACCCAAACCAGCGATCTGAGAGCCTCTTGTTGATCAGTGGGTTTAATTTTTCTTCTCTGCTGGTTATCTGAGATATACCAAACCAATAAAGTATACATATATATATATGTTGTGGAAATTTCATATGTGCGCTAATATGTATATATAATAAAAATTCTGCGCCTCTTTACTAGGTAGCTCGAAAAGTAAGGGTTGGAACACCCTGAATAACCACTGTCATATCTTTTTAAGAGAGGTCATCTCTTCCCCCGGCCTTATAGTGAATAGAGGACTGCCATCGTCACTACAGTTGTCCACCACACATGTTATTCACTCAAGCGATGTTTCCTCTTATTCAGGGCTAGAATTCTTATATTCTGCTAAATGTTAAATCCTCGTTTGTGTGGTGTGTTGTCATAACAACAGTATCATCTCCTAAGACCTCTCGAATATGAGGTCACATTTGTCAACATTTCCGAGCTTGGGCCATGATAGCGAATATTCTACACATCATGCTGGTTATGCAACTACGCCTCTGAGAGACAGGTGTATAAGGATAAGTGAGACATGTCCATCCACTGCCTCTCCTTTATGGCTACTCCGAAAGGAGTTATCCAGTGAGGGGCATCAAACGTGCTGGATGCTGATCTCCAACACAACTAGTTTCAGAAGATTCACAATCAGCTATTACGTCTTGGCAGCTTCCCACTTGCATTCCCAAGCTTAGCTGATCAGCTGGAGAATTACTGACTTTACAAATAGTACCCGATGGGCAGAGGTGAATTAAAAATTCTTGGGGTCCTGGGCATAAAGAATATTGGGTCCCTCACATACATCCCGCGTCCAATTAAATCAGAAACTTATAGTAAAAACTTATGAAGAAATAAATCTGTATAATGTTTACACACTTTGTATTAATAATATAACAAGTCAATTCGCAATATGCTATGCTTAAATGCAACTGCATAATTTTGGATTACAAACAATTTCCTAAGTTTCTAACAATAATTAACATAAAGGACTGAAATTTTGCTTCCATAATACTCGCTCTCAATATCAGTTCACATCCCATATTATCTACTAATACCCTTGTGTGGCCTTCGGTAATTTTAAGTATTTTGTATTGTTTTTATCTCAATATTTATGTAAGATGACAGCGACTTAGAAAGTAACAACATTTTCTTGGAATCAAGCAATTTTATAATTATATACTATAAGTAAAATTAATCGTAATGCAATATTATGACAAATACTCTCAGGCTTTTTGAAAATAACACCTTTTATTTTTTAATGGTCCTTTTAATTTTGTGACGTCATTTTAGCAGAATTACTGGAGTATGGAGGTGTAGGCTCAACGTCAAAATAAGATTGAAGGTTTAACTTTATATGCCAGGTCTATATCTGGTATATAATTACATCACGTGTTAGTGAATATAATTATTAGAGTTAGGAATCTATAAGAAATCTAAATATCGTAGAGATACTCTTATTGACACTGTGACAGTCGTAAGTTCATATAAATTGTACTGTTCTTATTGTAGTTGAAACAACTGGGATAAGATTTGAGCTTCTGATTTTCGTTTGTTTTTTTAACGAATAACACCGATAAAAAAAAAACTCGTGTAAAAAATAAAATTTAAAAATCGACATATATCCAACAAACACCGGAACAACATTGGAATTGTGAAATGGTTTCACAGTTAACGTTATTTTCATTTCTCATTTCAGATAGTGATACAATGCCCTTCCTTTTTACCTGTAAGTTGTATTACTATTAGTTGTAATTGTATTTACAGAGACTATTACTTAGTAGTACAACTTCTGTTGAGTCGTTTAGAATAACTTGTCCCCTGGTGGGGCAGCGGGAAGTTTATTGACTTACAACGTAAAAATCCGAGGTTCGATTCCCCTTGGTGGACACCGCCAGACACTCATAAGATAGCTCAATGTGGCTTTTCTCTGAAACTGAATAATTTCATTTAAAGTATAAATGCACTCCAACTACCGAGGGTAGCAACAGTTAAACTAACATAGAAGTAATTCTTGTAATAATTAAGTTAGGTAATATAATTTAAAGTAGATCCTGTGTAGAAAAGAAATATAAGAAAAATCTGAAAAAATAATCTTGTAGAGTATATATAAAAACATATTAGAAAGCAAGATTTCCATTTGGTGCTGGCTTTCTTTTATATTATCTCTAACTAAATGAATAGTAAGGCTTATTTAATTAAACTAAGATTTTAATCACTACAGAAGCAGGACTAACTGGTCTTTAAGTTTAGTATTGGGGCAACTCTTATCAACCCTTTAAAAACAGAAATAATATTAGCAACTCACCAGTCTTCAGGCACCTGCTGTTGTCCTTTGAAATACTAAAAATGAAAGAGGCTCACATATGTGACTTTTGATCTACTTTAAATCCTAGGGGAAAACCTTGTTTAGTCCCAATGCTTTAGTTAAATCTTCTTTCTCTGTTATAGTCATTAAGGATTATAAAAAATATCTAATTTTTACATATTTCCATAAAGAAATTAATGGATTTCTTTACTCGAATTATACACTTGTTAGATATTATTTGAATAGGTTTTCAAAATAGAAACTCTTTCAAAGCAGGATTGTTTTAAATCTGGTATTCCTACTCATTAAGATAAAAGGATTCCCATAATGAATGCTTAACATAAAATTATTTTGTCATATTTTGAGATTGTAAAAAATAAGTAGTCATCTTTATATTGTTTGCGTTCTCTCACATAGTGTGTCTGCATTTTCATTTTCTTATTATTCAAGTTATTAACTGTAATTTATCTTTTCCCATACACTGATGAAACAGTAAGTTTTTAAGATATTAAGTTAAACTATTCACATACTTTTTTTCAGCTTTTTAGATTGATATAAAAATCAATTTTTGTGAAATACATTAAGATGACATATATATATATATATAAATGTACAGGTACATTTACCTTTTGCTTTAGACATGTGACTTACAAATTTTTTAATATAATCACAAATCTGACCTTGTGTAAAATTTGATAAATGACAGATAGTGCATTGGTCTTAAGAAAGCTTGTTATATACAGGATTATGAGGCAAATTGATTAGAAATGATACAGTAAATGTCTTGGAATAAATGGATCTTAAAATGTTTTTTTCCTTTCAGGATTATGAAATGTATTCTGAATGGATATCAATTTCTGCAACTACTGAGGCAGAAAAGCTACGATGGAGTGTTTTGAATAAGTTTCCAGGGGCAGCTGGAAGAGATGTTGTGATAGCTGTTGTGCGTCCTCTTGTAACTACACTAGGAATCAACACAGGACATTGTGAACATAGTGGTTTGTTGTCAGACAAAGAGGTACAATGGACTATGGAAGTAAGTTTAAAGTGAAGGTATTGAATACTAACAAAATAAAATTTATGATGGGTAAAATATAAATATCTTAAATGTACAGGAATAAAGAATTTTCAGCTTAAAGGACTATCATCTTTAGCTCATGTACTATATAATATTCAAACTCTTGATTAGGTCCTTCACCAGTCACACAACAATTAACCTCACGTAAAATTCACAAGGTGCTGTCAGGGTCAGTGAAACAGATGAATCTGTAGGTGGTCCAAAGTTTAAAGTATTTTGGATGTAGTCATAGCCTGTATATGTAGACATGACTAAAATCAGACATTCAGTCTTTCCCAATAGGATGCATGTCTGATTTTAACAAAACCTGTGTATAGCTTTACTATCAGCAATATTTAATGGAAGTCTCTGTAAAATTTCTGACTGATTGTTCATATTTTTATTCAATTTATTTGCACTTTAACATACTCTGAAGCATAAACAGTAGTTAACTCTCTCGCTACAGGCTCCGTCGAATCATCTGAGTTCATGACCCCAAATTTACCTTTATATTTTCGATACCGTAATTTATAATATATTTTGTGTATCTTTACAAAATTGTGCAAGCTTTCAGTGGTCATAAAGAGTCATTTGTAGACAAAAAAATCTGAATTTTTAATGAAGTATTTTCACTAAACATTTCTCCATGAATATATGGAGTCAAAGTGTTACTGCTCCAAGTGCAAATGATTTTCGTGTTAAGATTAAAAATACTTCTCTTCATCTGAAAAATCTCAAATTTTATTTGCATAATCTTTAAAACTTCTTAAATTAATATCAATTGTTTTTTTCAGTAAAACTATGTATTTTATCTGTTATTTTCTCTACAATAACTTTGTATGAGGTTGGTCAATTTGAATGACCTTGTAACCACCAAAAAGATTTTTAAATAAATCTAAGTTACCCTTTTTTTCTAGAATGACTTCAATTTGTAACATGAAACTACATTTGCTTATCCTAAATAGTTTTAAACTCTTAACAGTATACATTTCTTTCTACTTATGTTTTATTGCCCTTTGTATTGTGTGTAACTGATATTTCCACTATAATATTTGTAAACTACTTGGCAAATGTGTAGCTCACATTACCCTATTGAATTACATAATGCATTGGCCACTCACGAGTTACTCACTAATGTACTTCATGAAAAATTATTATTATTATTTATTTTACCTAATCTAACCTAAAAGGTTTCCGATTTTTACATTTTAGTTAATTCTATAATAATAATAATAGATAAAGAATACACATGAAGAACAAGAAATAATGTACTTACCTGGGTCATCTTTTTTTGCCTGTCAACTGTTAATGACACTTAACCCTCTTTTTTTTATGTACTAATGGTACTACTACACTAAATATTTTTTTATTTAATTGAATAATACACCTAAGAACACAGAATGATAACATGTAAAAAGCAGACAATATCTGATAACTAAGAAATTGTGTGACTAGCTGATTTGGAACAATTTTCTAGGGTATGTGCAGTGCACAGAATATGATTTTAAAATGGATTTTTCCTCAGGAGTGACATTTACAACCAACATGTTTGAGTAAAGTTTTTAGTAGCTCTTCAGTAATTTCTTGGTTTATCAGTAATTTGCATCATTTTTTTTTTTGCTGGGGGTTTATTTCCAACTAGGGAATTTCATTAAATGTTTGTGTTTTTGCAACATCTTCATCTGTTTGAACTCTCTTTGGGGGAGGCAAATTGACAACATCACACAGTTCAGGCATTTTGACTTGGGTTCAAACCTAAAAATCAGAGAAAAATGAACTATATTTATCTGCTGTAATAAGTTATAAAGACAAAGACATTTTCAGTAACTAAAATGGAGACATTTACAGTGAATATTCAACACAGTTGGTGTTTACACATTGTCTTTCTTAAGATATATAAGCACATATCGTATAAAATTCATGAGAAATAACTGTGCTTATAAAATATCATTTTGCATAAATATTATGCACTGCAACTTATTATGTTCTAATATTTAATATTATTTATTTTAGAAATGGTTTTAAACATGCTATGTATAGTTGAAGTTCTCACTCATTTTTTCCCTTATCTATAGAATTTACTCACCTAAGTAGAAATTTTTTAAATTGCTAATAATAACATCAGACCCTTAAAATCTTTGTTTCCTACAAAAATTTAATAGTGTTAAAGTCTTTGAGACAATCAGCTTTTGTCATTTATTGTTAATATGGTACTATGTTTTCAGTTTGCATCAAAGTGAACAAATCACAGTCTTGTGAAAGCCACATACATAAAATGTGGAGACTATACAAATTTTAGTGTAGATTGCAGTTGGATATGGTTGAGTTTGCAGTGGTATGCACTTTTAATAAATGAAAAATCCTTTACAAGAAAAAGTTAGCCTACTGAAAATACGCTTTCATGTCCTAAAAACAATATAGATGTTCACATTGTTTTTTTGGCATCGCTTATCTGATCTTTGACCTCCTCTAAAGCTCTGGAGAAAAACCTGTTTGGCCCTGATATTTAAACTATTTTTAATCTCACAATCTTTCTAATTAGCACCAGGAGATTAATATATACAATAGTTTAGGCAAATCCAATATTATCCATAAAATGAACAGGGTAGAAATATTGCTAATATCTTCTCTTGTCAAAATAGAAGAGGTGAAAATGTTTAAAAGCTCAGTCATCTCTTAATCTTCAATAAAAGCTTTCCCGTCATCTTCTTTTAAGGGCCAATCCCAATTTTAACATTTTGCTTCTCTTTAACATAGTTAAAAAACAATTGCTTTTAATTTTATCATTATCAACTAGGTGTTCCTCATAAGCTCTTCTAAATTTCCTTTTTTTTAAAAACCTAAATCCCTAGCTTTTTTATAGTTATGTAAATCTTCCCACTTGTGTGTCAGTTTCAACTTCTTAAATTTATTGCATTTATTCCTGATGTTCTGGTTAGAGAAAGTCACAAAGCACTGCTGACATTAAATTCTTGGGAATTTCTAGGTGTATTGAGGGTGATGAAATAATATTACAAAATGACTTAATCGGTTGATAAGTTGAACATGTATTTGGGAAATGACCTCTAATTATGATACCTGAAAAACATTGAATTTGGGTTATCATGATTTGGATCACACATTTAATACAGATGGGAATCCACTTAATAGCATGATTGAATAATAGAATTGTAGCATGATGGTGGATAAACTGCTCAAGCCATCAAAGGTGTACTCTGTTAATACTAGTAAAGCTAACAGAATTTTAAGTTGAAATTTTACAAGTCAAAATAGGTAATTATCTCTGTCTCTACACAAATTGCAGTGTGTGAACAAACCATGCATTTGTATCTTCTTGTAATATTTATTCTGAATTTATTTTTTATCCTGTATATGTTCAGGTTTCACATAACACATGACAGAAAATGCCATCATGTTGATTTCATTTCATCTACCTTTGTTATTTTCCATTAGATAACACCTGTTCTGTCATTGAGGGTTATTGCTGCAATACTGAATGTTGTGCAAGGATGTCAACAGCAGTGATCTCCAATGATAATTTGGGTGATATCTTAGGGTTACAGCCAAACCTATGTTTCATTGAAAATGACCAGCCATGTGGGTAGTGATAGTCACTCTGGATAAATGCAGAATTTCTTATGAACTAAGAAATGCTGAATTTAGTCATTTTCATGCCATGGATGGATTTTGAACAGTTGAATGTAGAGAATCCTGATAAAAGTGTTTGTTTTACATCTACTACAATGAAGAATTCTCATTTTTTATTTCACTTGTGTCTACTCTCTATTTCACTTATTCTCATGACCTTGTTATTCAGAGGTTTAATATTACTTTATAATTGGCATCTTAACCAAATTTTCCTGTTTTTAACCCTCTGTGCACAGTTTTAATCCATTGTACCAAGCCTGTATTGGAGAATTAATGTTTACCATGAATTTTGTAATTCAAGATTTACTTTGTGTATCTTCACAAAATTTGGTAAGCTCCTTTTAAACATTAAAAGTATGATGTACAAGAAAAAATATTGATTTTTAATAAAGTATTCCAACTGAAGATTTGCCTCTGAATTTACTTCAGTCATTCTGACTCAGAATCTAATAACCTTTAGAACCTCATAAATGAAAACTGAAAGTTTTTTTTAGTCAGAATTCATATTTTATCTGTTATTTTCTTTGCTCTAACATCATATGGGCTAGGTCCATTTGACCAATTTTTTAACAACCAAAAAAACTAAAACATAAATCTAAAGTACCCCTTTTTTCTTTATAGAATGACTTCAAATTGTAACAGAAAATTACAAATATTTATCCTAAACAACCTCAGGCTTCTAACAGTTTACATCTATTTTTTATTTAGTTTTATTGTTCTCTGAAAAGTGTCTAATTACTATGAATAACATTAAATATCATTCAATCACCCAGCTGGATTGATAGTGTAGGGTAAATAAAATTTCAGGTTATATCATGTGAAGTCTAACTACAAATGTTCCTCATGCATTCCTCAGGGCAAAACATTTTATTTATTTTTTCCTGTCAGTTTTTTATATAATTTAATAAGTGTTTCATTTTTAAGTTTTAGTTATTTTATTAAAAATATATATCAATAAATAAAACATATACATAATAAATGAGAAATTTAGTTCTTACTCTAGAATTGAGGCCTTTTGCTTTCAGATGCTGGTATTTATTAACTCTGCCTTTTTCTCACTAAATTGATTGTCCAAAAAATAAATCATGTATTTCTAAAATATGCATTTTAAAACACAAATAATAATTCAAACAGTAAAATAGAATGCATCAAAACTACTGTAATTTGTTTGCCTTTCTAAATGATGTATGATACAAAAAGGTTTAAAAATTTTCATTAGTTACTTTGATCTTAACTCAAAATATGCTTAAGAAATGGTGCCTTTTATTGAAATAAATTAACATAAAGTCTTCACTTTCGTGTAGTTCACAAAATAGCCTTTCTATTGGTTATAAATATGTACCATTGACATTTAAGGAAGAATGATTACATATTTTCAAAAGCATGAAGATTTTAGTGAAGCTTCCATGGTGTTTATAGCAAATTTATTGATATCTCAGAAAATAAAGAAAGTGAGAGGTTCATATTTCAAATTCTACAATTGGTGTATCTAACTGGTGGACATCCTGAAACACACATAAGTTGTGTGGTATTACATAACTTATATTAAAGTTTAGATTACAAGCATGTTTTGTTGCTAAGTTTATTGACATACATTGATAGTAAAGTTATTTAATTACATTTTGAATGCAACTCTGTAAAAGTCATGATGGGCACTTTGACCCCACACTACACAGAGAGTTAAGAAGACCTATCTCATATCTTTAAAGTCAACTTGATATTACCTGAATTTATCACGGAATGGATAGGAAGGAGTAAAAGTCATGATGTGCACTTTGACCCCACACTACACAGAGAGTTAAGAAGACCTATCTCATATCTTTAAAGTCAACTTGATATTACCTGAATTTATCACGGAATGGATAGGAAGGAGAAAATTTTGGTGTTGTTATTGCAGGATATTGTATGACAAAGTTTGCTATTTCTTCCAAAGTGTGCACTGCACTTTACTACTTGAACTCTTGTGCTTTAGGTTTAAAAAGGCTCTCAGTTGAAGGAAATGTCATTTTCCACAACTAGAAGGTTTTATGACCAAGAGGTAGAGTCAATCACTGGGAGGAGATGTTTGTCAGATTCAGGACAATTTCTCTTCTGGATATAGGACTTTCATTAATGCAATCAAGTTCATGACGTCTATCTCTCTACAGTTGGGCCCGGCATGGCCAGGTGGTTAGGGAGCTCAACTCACAATCTGCGGGTTGTAGGTTCGAATCCCCGTCCCACCAAACATGCTCGCCCTTTCAGCCGTGGGGGTATTATAATGTAACGGTCAATCCCACTATTTGTTGGTAAAAGAGTAGCCCTAGATTTGGAGGTGGGTGGTGATGACTAGCTGCCTTCCCTCTAGTCTTACACTGCTAAATTAGGGATGTCTAGTGCAGATAGCTTTGTGTGAAATTCAAAAAACAAACAATCTCTAAAGTTGACTTCTCAGATAGATGAGCTGCTGATATTTGGTACAACAAGAACAGCTGTTTATATGCTTCCTTTGAGGATCAACTTGAATGCAAAGGAAACACGGATGATTGAGGATCATCTAGATGGTGTGGCATTTGGCAATTCTGAAACTAAGTGGGACAGTCTGTGTAACATTTCCAGTGAGTGAGAAGGTGAGCACAAAATGCAAAGTGAATAGATCATGGGGAAATGGTGAGCCTCTCCAAGCTAGGTGGTGTAATGCTGAAATAGTCATTGATCATGGCTGGGGTCATGAATAGATAATGGATGAACTGCCAAATACACATCATCATTGTGCCACTCTAGAGGAGGGGCCTATTGCTCATCAGAGAGTTGGAGTCCAAGGGAGACCATACAATGCTTTGCCTATAGTGTCATGCACATCTTGGTCAGATGATGGCAGAAAGCTGTGAAAGAGAATGTGGCTTCAATCATGGTTCCTATGAATGAAGCAAAACAAACCATTCCATCTAAAGGTACAGGAAAAAAGGATTTGAACCATTTGTAAAATGTTACAAACAGATAACTGACTGAAATAGATGGACTTTGTAACAGGCCATCAAACACTTGGTTCTAAATTTAGATGGTCTGGCCCTAGACTTGAATGATTTGCAACTAGAGTAATTCCTCAAGCAGAATTCAAGGCTTAGAAGAGAGGTACCACAGAAAGCTTCACCATTTACATGAATGCTCTGTGCTATTTTCATGGTGAGACTTAACCTTCAATGGCCCCAGTGGATCATGAGGATATCCTCATTGACAAGTTTGTGAAAGGGCTACCCATTGAGATGATGCAGTATCACTAGGTAAGAGTGATCTTCTCACCCTTACTGAAGCAGTTCCTGTCGTGATGATGTATGAAATGGTAACTTCAAACCAGAGAGGAAGAAGCTACAGTGGATTTTGTCTTGGACAGTTCCACCTAGCCACCCATATTACACTAGATTTGAGCCAGTCAAGGGTGAACTAACCATCCATACATTCTGGCATCTAGTGAATATACAGGGCTGTCCTTGCCCTTCCGTGATTTAAATGTTGCAAAATATGACACTGATACCTCTACCAGGATGTTGTCCTGGAAGAGGGGAGCAAGTTGTCTGCTTTGAATGTGGAACATTGGGTCACATTCAAGTGAAGTATGTACACCTTGATGATGTTAGAGAAACACGTATTTCAATTTAAGACAAAAAACAAAGCTTTATAACTCAAGTGCTTTTGAAAGGTAGACTTTTCTTCATTGGAGGCAAACTATACCTTGGCAAACAGCAAGGTAAACAAGACTATCAGTTTTGACTGACAGTGAAAAAGTACAGGAAGAACCAACAGCAGATGGATTGTCTTACCAACTTGTGAAACTCTGTCTGTTCATTAAATTTCCTGATTTTGGACACTGTGGGAGTTGAGACCATTTCTGCCATAGTGATGAAAAGCCATACAGTATGAGATTTCACTAGTGAATGAATGTCACAATTAACATTAAAGGATTTTGTGGAAGATCAGCTGAAAGACCCAAATCTGGTATGTGTACTTCTTGCAGTGCACCAAGGTAAAGCATGACAGGCTCAGATTGAGGAATATAGCAATGACAAACATAACCTGTGACACTTGTACAAGCAGTTATGACTACAAGAAGGTATGTTGTACCATTGTTATCAACCACCTAACAGTGGTTTCTGACACAATACCTAACCACCTGTCACATCGAGCCTAACATGATTCAATGCTGCCCTTTATATGTGAACTTTTTCACTTGCCACTAGCCTTGAGGCTCCCACCAAATCTCGTGCTTCCACATGATATTGCTGGCAGTAAAACAGGAGGCAACTATTGTATTTAGAGGTGGTAAACTGTTTTAATGTTAGAAGAATGAAAAACTGTTACTATGTAAAACAATATCCCGTATAACGAATTTCACAAACTGAAATATTTGAAATTGATAATTAGTGGACAGATTTACCATGTTACAAAGAGCTACTGAAACTGTGACTAAATGTAATAAGAGGTGAGTTGTATTATTTTCTTAAGCTATTGAGAGGACTTTTAATGGGATAATAATCATTACTAGGACATGTTTTGTGTTACATAACTAAATAAAGTGCTAAGTGTCAGAATATTCTCAAATTATGAACTTAAATATTTTGAGGAGATAATAACTACTGAACTATGAGAATAAAGAGACAATGCCTAAGTATAAAAAACAGGTTAATTGTATTGTTGTCAAGGTTTTGGTTATTAGCAGGTTATGTTTGTGGGAAAGTCGGTGAACTAGACTGCCATGTTATTTGGCAATAAGCTGTAGTATATAGACAAACTTCTGGCCAGACATTTCTCAAGAATACTCAACATTGGATTGAACAATACAGATGTACAATCATGAGTAATGTCGATAAAAATGTGCACTTATGTGTACATGATAAGCTGAAAAAAGTGAAGTTATTTTTGTGGGCTATTCACATTAAGTTCTGAACAAGATTGTTGTGAACCAGTAATCATAAATTTCAAAGTAGATTTGATCTTTATCTAGTCAGTCTTACTTAACCAATAGTCTTTCATTCTTTGAAGTTATGCTATTTTTGTGAATCACTTCTTCTTGGGTGAATGTTTTAGGCCTGTTTGTCTGATTTTGGCTTAGTGCTTTTCCTTTTTGTAATTCAGGTTGCTTAAAGTTGGGGTTGATGTACATATATGTCATGTAGTCCACATGCCCTAGCCACAGTGTTTATGTTACTCTAATTTTGTTTGTGTTTAAGTGATCCTCAATCTCCTAATGCCAAGGACAGGGTATGGAACCTTGGCTGTCTAGTTGAGGTTGGGTAGATACATAGCCATGGCTAGTTGTTTTTCTTCATCATTATATTTTGGAAAATTGTCCCTTGACTTGCCATTTTTCCTCATGTGGGTATCAAGGTTTTGTTTCATAGAGCAGCTTTTCATCTTAGGGAGCTGAATGTTTTCCTGTCTGTTTTGTGCGATGGAGGATGATTCGAACTTGTGCCATTTTTTATTATGGATTAAACCTCTCAGAATGAATTAAGTTTGTGCACATCTTTTTTTTTCCCCTGTGTCAGGTTCATTTCCTCCTCATGGGACGAAGAACATACCTGTTCCAGAAGTAGTGTTGTGCCCCGCATATGTGCTGTAATTTCATCTCTGAGCACACCAGTTATTTTTAGGCAGTTGCTTTCCACTTGGATTCACTGTTAGGTGCCTACACCAGCCTCTCCACCTTTTGAATGTGGGATTCTAGCTTCGTGTGAGAGGAGGTAAGACTGTATTGGAAGTTAAAATTTTCTTACACTGAAAATGTATTTCTGATAGGTACTTACTTCCTCTCACATACTTTTCACCCTTCCTCCTCAATGCCGGTGTGATTCATATTAGATCATTCCAATCTCGAAAGTGAGGATTGAGCAGGAAAATGAGAGGGAACTATCTGTGTCAATATACATGGCACAATACTATTTGAGGGTGGTCGCATGCTATATACATGTTCAAAAGTGGCACAAAATATGTAGGGTATATTGACCGGTGCAATGAGCATTAAATTTTTTTTAGCAGTGTATAGGGGGCAGAAAGAAGATTAAGATAGCTTTCTTACACTTTCTATTTTACTGTGTAATGTCATGAATAAACTAAGTAAAAGTAAAACCAGAAGAGCTAATTTAAAATAATTTGTTACAGCAAAAATACCTTATATATGTAATACAAAAATACCTTATATATGTAATACAAAGGCTTTTTGTTGTTATTTCTATTTGATATTTTAAAGGTTGTCTGCTTTGGATTAAGCCTACCAATGTTAGAACATGAGGCAATTCGAGATTGTGTCAGTGTTTACTGTGAGTGGTTCCTGGCTCTTACTAAACCTAAAGCTTGTGTTCCAAAACCAGTATGTGAAGACCCAAACAACTATGTTAGAAGAATGCTTCATCATTTGTACAATCTCTTTGTTCCCAGGTCTGAGGAAGGTATGCTACAACATTAAAAAAATATCAATTTACATAGAATATATTTTTTGTAAAGATAAAATAATTCTTGCACTTCTGTATAGTTAAAAGAAATAATTACTATAAAATATTGTACCATTTTACATGGTTTAAAAGTTTTGTTATTTACCAATAAAAAGTGTGTATGGAATGTCCTGTGTTATTATACAAGATATTATTATTAGAAGCAATTATGATGTAATCTATATATAAAGTGATTAACTTTGATATAAGTTATTGATTTCTGTTATTTTAGTTACAGCTTTGTGTCTCATTCTTACACAAGTTATGTTCAGTATGTAAAGTGATATGTGCAAAGTAAATTTTTAATTTTTTGAAAGTGGCTTTCTATTTCCCCAGAAGCCAAAGGAATAGGCTTTGGGATGCCAGGATAGCCTTTTTTTTTAGTTTTTGTATGTAAGTCTATAAATTTTATTAATAGACTTTATGCAGAAATTGAGTATTTTAATTTTTTGTAATTATTATTCAAGCATGAGATAAAAAAAAAATTTCCATAATTATTTACTTTAGAGCCACTATTGGCAGATCCATGCATATTCTATATACTGATTTTATAGTACTGCTATGTAAAGATTTTCTAATATTTTATTTTCCTGTTGCAGCTTCTGATATAAACAAGCAAGCTGTGTTGTGCCATAGAGTTCTAAGAACTATTCAGTATGTTGCAGCAGAATCAACCATTATTGAGCGAGAAACCTGGGAATCGTTGTTATTATTTTTGCTAGCAACAAATGATATGTTGCTTGCTCCACCTGTGGTGAAAGGTAATATTGTTAAAAGTAAAATTATCTTTATCTTCTAACATGAAAGAAAGGTTTACTTTTATTACATAAATTTTTAATATTTACATTTATTCACAAATATTTATTCTCCAACCAGAAAGGATAGTATTAGTTTTTGTTTAATCAATATAAATAGATTAATGGTATAAATATACTTTAAATTCAACACAACATCTGTTTTGTCTTTATTTCACTTCTGAAGATGTTTTTCTCCTCAATTGTTGGTAGCTAAATAAGCAGCAGGATAGTATGGTTGTGATGAGTATGTTTGCATGTAGCTGTATCAATGCTGTTCTCAGTGGGTAGAGTTAGGGCACACCTCAACAAGCTTTCAGTGACTTTCTGTATATACATTTTAGTGTGGAAAGTAGAGTAAAATCTGACTTGTGAGCACTTTGAACTAAAGTCATCATGATGCAAATCATTAACATTATTCCATGGTGATAGTAAACTTTCCTTCATATCTTTTATTTGTATAGAAACTAACATAGATACAAGTCAAAACAGAAATTAAAAATTAATCCTGAAATGAGACATGCTTCTCCTTCTACATGTTTGAGTCATAGCATATGATCTGTTTTATCTGGTGCAAACATATCTGTTCTTTACATGGCAATAAATGCCTTTCTTTTTTGGTATCAGCTTCACTCATTTTCCCACTGACCTTCTTGCTCGTTTGAGTTATTATTCATGGCATTATGGTGGTAAAGTTGAAATGGCTGTCTAACTCAAACCAATCATGAGATTACTTATCTGGTTCAGCCAGTTCTTTATAATCTTGCTTTGTATTGGTTCATAAGAAATATATTTCATTCATCAGTGCAAGTTTCAGTTTTAATGCTAATTTAACATGTGGAGGGTAGTTTGATTATTTTGTAGGATTTTAAAACATTACTTTGCGAAAGTGAAGTGTATGTATTTTTTGGTAAAAAGGTTTGCTTTCATGCACTCTTTATTATATTGAATTTTAAAACTTTTGCTATTTAAGATACTGTTATGACAGCGGAAGTCACATGATGCTGAGAGCATGTGCGCTGGAGTTTCTGGAAGGATCATGAATTTTCCTGGCAACTCTAGTTTGTTCGAGGTTCCCTCTTTTTTTAGTATATAAGCCTGGTGAGAAAAACCAGCGCAATTGCATAGATAGAGAGATATGCAGATAGATTGAAGATAGAGATAATTGTGTCAATCAAACAGGAGGCACCGTAAGTAAAGTGTGTGAATCACTGTGAATTATAGCGTGTGTGTTATAAAAGTTGTTAAGTGTATTACAAAATTGTATCAAGAAAGAATAAACTAGTTTTAATTAAAAAAGGACTTGTGTCGCTCAAGTTCCTCGGAAAGAATTTATACCAGAAATTAAGGAAATTATCAAACAAGCAGATAAGTAACAAATTGGTGTCAGAGAGTGGGTCCGAAAAAGAAAAAAAAAGATGGAAACGAGAAGTGGCAAATCAAACTACAACTTAGATTTGATGGCAGTGA